TGCATGGAGTTTGTGTGTTCTCCCTGTGTTTGTGGGATGTTTCCTCTAGCTGCTCCTGAATCCTTCAAATCAAAAACAAGCTGGTTGATTAAAGTGACATTATAAAGTATCTTCTGGGAGTGCTCTTTTGCTCAGGACCCGTTGAGGGCCCTAGAACCTGAACTCAAGGACTTTGTGCCACAGACAGCCATCACACACTTTGGGGGTGTTGAACGGACTCTTCTGTGGAACTTTTACCCTGGAGGACATTGACAGCGCCTGGCGGGTGCTGTGTTGTTTTAAGGATGCTTTATGGTGCGCCAGGAAGCGCCTCATCCACCAGCGGGAGAGGATGTCCATTGAGGACTGCCCCAGATGATCCTCAGTCTGCTCAGGGACTATAACTTGATGGACTTTAAGGAGGAAGAGGACGTCTGAAGATCTCCCCTTCCCCCTACTCCTCCTTGCGTGTCCTTGCCCCTTCAATAAAGCTTCGGGCCTGTGACCCCTTTTCCCCTCTTTCTCCCCCCTCACACACCTGACGCTTGTTGGAATTTGAACGTGTTTGAACTTGCATGATTCTGATTCTGTAAATTTCTCTTTTTATGCATGCTATGGTTTTTATGCGGTGGCGCCCATGGGGGTAACCTAGGGGGCCACAAACAGCCTCAGGGTAAGCGGCGTTATGCATGACGTGATGGTCTGGGGATTCGTCCGCCACGCACACCACGTCAGGAATCATACCGCTGAGTGAATGTATTTATTGTATGCCTGGAACTATATTGTAATGTGGTGTATTGTGCGCTGCGTCGCAGTATAGGGTGAGATGTACCCCGATTACGAGTATTGTGTTTTCTGTAAATAAAGTATATTTTTCAATCAAAAAAACTACTCCGTAGCAGCCGCAGGACTACTGGCCAGGTCTTCTAAAAGCCTTGCCTCACAGCCAGGCATAAAGGCTCATTCACACATTTCTTCAATGATCAGTCTAGGGGTGTTGTTTTTTATTTTTGGAGAACTTGGATAGAGTTGAGGGAATTAGGTGGGATACTCCAAAAACAAGAACTATATACAGCTTGAGGACTTGGGTATTCTTCAGAGTAAGCTATGTCAAAATTTGTTCTTGTAGCAAACAGTGGACTTCAGCCTAAAAGTGGTAGTAGTAATAATCTAGAGCGGAGTCCTCTGTTTAGGAGTTTAGACAATGCTTTTTTGGGGTCCCAGCCGGTATCCCCTTTAGGTGGACCCACAGCTGACTCCCTAGCACCAGAGGGGTTTAAGCAGCACAAAGTCTCTAAGATCCTTTCAGAAGTGTCTGTACTCACAAGGCCCAAGGAAGCTGGATGACTTCCTTCATGATACCAGAACAGATCTCCAATAGATGGCTCCTCAGTCAGCTCTTAGCAGTACCTGGGTCTCAATGTTCAGACCCTCAGGTTTCCCACCTGAGGCCTATGCCAGCAGATGCAGCAGCTTTGCCTGTGCATGCCCCCTCCAGGCTGGACCAATCCTATACAGGAAAATACCAGAGCTTGGTGTGCTCACTGAGTATATACCAGCATGCCATCACAGCCTGCCTCTCTGGGATAGGCCAGGGCTGTATTAATACTCATGCTGCCATCTGCATAGCTCCACACCTATCATCCAGAAACTTCTCAAGCTCTCTGGATGCAGAGGGAGTTATCAGGCTGGCAGCAGCTGAACACACTGAGCAGACCTAACTAGCAGAACACAGCACTGTCTTATCTGTCTAAACCAGTGGTCTTCAAACTATGGCCTTTTACTTGCTTTTATTCGGCCCTTGGATCACTATTGCATTCACTGACACCAACAATGGGCCACTGTTCCTCCCAATGACACCAACAATGGGGCACAGTTCCTGCCAATGACAGCAATGATGGGGCACAGTTCCTCCCAATGACACCAACAATGGGGCCCAATGGCACTAATGATGGGGCACAATTCCTACTAATGAAACCAATGATGGGGCACAATTCCTTCAAATGACACCAGTGATGGGGCACGATTCCTCCCAATGACACCAACAATGGGGCACAGTTCCTCCCAATGACACCAATGATGGGGCACAGTTTCTCCCAATGACACCAATGATGGGGCACAATTCCTTCCAGTGAAGCCAGTGATGGGGCACAATTCCTCCCAATTACATCAACAATGGGGCACTAGTCCTCCCAATCACACCAATAATGGGACACTATTCCTACTAATGACACCATTAATGGGACACTATTCCTACTAATGACACCAACAATGGGGCCCAATTATACCAATGATGGCACACAATTCCTCCTAATGACAACAAGGATGGGGCATTGTTTACTCCAACTGATGCTGGGACATTTTCTACTCCCGATGGTCACAGTGCAGCCCCTCTAAAGTCTTAAGGACAGTAAACTGGCCCTTTGTTTAAAAAGTTTGGAGACCCCTGGTCTAAACCATTCACCTATCTAGGAGGGTGCTACAGTATCTCTCACCTGAGTAAAAAAGTTTTGGGAGACCTCACCGTTTCGGTTTTTTTTTCCACCCAGTGTTTGTTTACATTCACCTGTCACTCAGGATTCCATGGCTGACAGCTCAATGTGTCAGGCAGGGATGGGTCACTGGAATTTTGAATTGTGGGTGGAATTGCCGAGATTCTGCCCACGATTTTAAAACGCACTGTTAAAATGTAAAATCAGCGTGTTCAGGTGCCATTCATTTCAATTTCAATTTTCATTATTTATTCATTTATCCTGGTTGTTAGGCATCATTTATATTTAGGCATTTCGAATCACGGGTGGAATCACTGCGATTCTGCCCGTAATTTCAAAATACGCTTTTAAGATGTAAAATCGCAAATCAGCATGTACAGGTACCATTCACTTCAATGGCACCTAAAAACTAAGCGATTCTGCTGCAATTGTTGCACAACCAATCGGGCATGCAATTGCACAAACCAAAATGCGCCGCCCTGGCAGAATTGCCCTGTGTTTTTAGGTGCCATTGAAATGAATGGCACCTAAACACAATGTGCGATTTTACATCTTAACAGTGCAGAATCACAGCGATTCCTCCCATGATTCAAAACACCTATATGTGAACGAAGCCTAACAACCAGGAGGAAGCATCACATTTAGCAGTGAAAATATATATTAAAAATATATATATTTTTCTAATTAGCAAATGGTTCTCATGGTCAAATGTTCCTATAGCTATTATTCTCTTAGGATGGTTATATGTGCAGGAGACTGGTCTTGTACCCACCGCTTCCTGTAGTAGGTAGGCTAGCTCTGCTCTCTGCACAAGTTATGTACAACATGGCGATGATGTCATTGCTAGTTTTACAGGGTAATATCTGGGATTGTAAAGGTACTTAGTGCCCACAAAGTGGGATTTTATATATATATATATATATATATATATATATATTATACTGTATATGTGTGTGTGTATGTATGTATACCTATACTGTAAAAATGGCATTACCCATCACTATTGTGCTTCAGTAGCATCTTCTTCCCGGCTTGATCTATCCATGGCATGTTATCCTCCTTGACATATGGTACATCATTAGGACATTAGACTCCTGTGTGTAACCATGGACTATCCTGCTTTCCTCCACACCAGAGGCACCATTCTTACACTGTCCAGATGTTACCTTCTTTTGCAAAAGTAGGCTGCAAAGTATTACTCTGCTGCTTTGCTGATCACCCTTTGACTGATCAGAGCAGCTGCTTTTATAAATTCTGAAGCACCATCTGACATTTCAGAAGTGTGCCAACCAGTCTCACACACTTTCTTTCTACTGACGCACAGCCATCACATCCCTGAAAGCTAAAAAGCTTCATGCGTGGGCGTCTCTGCCTTCGCAAGAGTTATTTTCTTTGGAACAAAGGCAACTTAAAGTGCAAATTCATCATCGCTTACTAATTTTGGCATTTGGTCGGACTGGTGAAGTCTACAATCTGGAATACCATGGTGAAGATTACAGAAGTCTACAGTCTGAGACACCATGGTGAAGATTGGTGAAGTCTACAATCTGGAATACCATGGTGAAGATTAGAGAAGTCTACAGTCTGAGACACCATAGTGAAGATTGGTGAAGTTCTACAGTCTGAGACACCATGGTGAAGATTGGTGAAGTCTCTGACAGTCTGAGACACCATGGTGAAGATTGGTGAAGTCTACAGTCTGAGACACCATGGGTGAAGTCTACAGTCTGAGACACCATGGTGAAGATTGGTGAACAGTCTGGGACAGGTCTGGTGAAGTCTACAGTCTGAGACACCATGGTGAAGATTGGTGAAGTCTACAGTCTGAGACACCATGGTGAAGATTGGTGAAGTCTACAGTCTGAGACACCATGGTGAAGATTGGTGAAGTCTACAGTCTGAGACACCATGGTGAAGATTGGTGAAGTCTACAGTCTGAGACACCATGGTGAAGATTGGTGAAGTCTACAGTCTGACACCATGGTGAAGATGAAGTCTACAATGTGAGACACCATGGTGAAGATTGGAGAAGTCTGCAGTCTGAGACACCGTGGTGAAGATTGGTGAAGTCTACAATCTGAGACACAATGGTTACAAAGTATCTGTTAAACATCCTAAAGCAGATATTACCAATCCCCTGAGGACCACAGGCATTCTCTGGATCTCCCAGTACCAGAATCTCCCAAAACTTTTTATTTACGACCCTCATGGTACAGCTCACACATGCCAAGGGGACAGTTCCCTTTCCTATGTAGTAAGGGGAATGGATGCTGATTGACAGGGGGAAGTTTCTGAGATCTTCCCAGATGGTGAGTGTTTGTTATCGCTTGGGCATTAACCCTTCAAACTCTTAACATTCATGTCTGCGAAAGATTTCGCCCAACATGGATTGTGTCTAGCAAGCCTAATTCTTTTATGAAGTATTTTATCCTTACACACACATTAACTCCTCCCATGCCATACTGTTCTGTAGAGCAGATTAATAGCTTTACAAGTCTGGATGTTAGAGGATGCTGTTACAATGCATACCTTCCTCCCCATACTGGTCGTAGATCTCTCGCTTCTTGGGGTCACTTAGCACCTCGTAGGCTTCAGCGATCTCCTTGAACTTCTCCTCGGCATGGGCTGACTTGTTTTTGTCTGGGTGCCACTTAAGAGCTTGCTTTCTGTAAGCCTTCTTGATGTCTTCCTCCGAAGCCCCCTTCTCAATGCCCAAAATCGAATAATAATCTTTCCCCATATCACCTTTGTCAGCAGGACTGGAATGCACAGAGCTAGTCCCTTGCTCTGGATATAGAAAGTCTGATCCCCTCTAAGCGTTCACCAGTCCATCCCCTCCTGTTCATATATATAGAGATCAGCTCCCAGCCTCCCATTTACGTCTCACTCTCTCTGCTGCTTGCAGAATTCACCAGCTCTTTCTAGAAAGTTTTTTTTTAAACAAGCTAAAGCTTTATTAGATGACAGAGGCAGCAGAATCTCTGTTTAACCCATTGCATATCTGGCTTTAAAGCTGGGTAAGGGAACGGGAGGCATGCCAACAAGCCTGGACAAAAAGTGTTCTGTGGCTCTCCTATGGACATTCTCTACATTACTTTTAAAGAGGTTTTACAGTTTTGGTACGTACTACATTGTAAAATAATTTTTTTCTTTACTAAATAAAGATAGTGGGCCTATAGCTCAGGCTGTTATTAGTCATTTTTTAGTCATTTTTAACATAGAAACATAAACCTAAAGAGGTACTCCAGTCATTTAAAAAATAAATAAAAGTCAGCAGCTACAAAAACTGTAGCTGCAGACTTTTATTAAAGAGACACTCACCTGCCCATGAGTCCAGCATTGTCCTCTCTGGGGTCGGTTATTCCTGCTGACCACTGAGCATGCACAAGATTGCGCTGCACAGTCAGATTGGTCCCACGGGCTCCTGGGATGTGTAACATGTCCCAGGAGGCTGCAGGGGCAGGCCAGGCTTTGTAACTCTTGCCTAGGTGAGAAAATTGCAGAAGGGGTAGAGGGTACCTGTCAGCAAAAGGTACCCTCCCCCCCCCAAAAAAAAAACAAATATGTTAGGGGGGAGAGAAGTGGATTGGCAATATTTTCACTTTTACGTTAAAATCTGCTTTGAACAAATACAATTCTACTCTAAAATCTATCTCCTAACAATGCAAGCCATCTGCAGATATGCAATTCTTTGACAACCTCTTAGGCTGCACATACACAGTACAAAATGATTGTACAGTGTCCTTTGGATCTACCACTAATGGACTAGTTGATCCTGATAAGTGTTGGCTCTGAGGAAGAGGTTGTGTCCTCGAAACGCGTTAGCCAGTTGGTCATCCAGGGTTCCATCGTATGGACTCAGATGTTGTTTGGATCATACATCTTGTTCAGTTTGACATGCCTGTGTTATTATGTCCATTGTGAGTATGATACCTATTTTTGTTTCTTTAATAAATTATTTTAAACGATAATGCACTAGGTCGGTGCACCCTTTTTCTTTTTCTCCATTTGTATCCAATGCATAGTGTTGGTGAAGCTAGGAAGGATTGTCCATGGATAGTATAATCAGATTGTTAAGTGTATGGCTTTAGATATATGTATGAACAGGAGCCAGGCGCTGTGTAGTTTTGTGATAAAAGTAATACACCTTATATAGAGGTGTGCCTTTAATAATTCATATGGTAAAAAATAGATAACCAGCCTGTGGCTTTAAGAAGCCAGGTTCCAAGATGGACGGCCCCGACCACTCAGAGGGAAGTAGTGGAGTAGAATGCCTGTCAGTGCAGGGACCACGTGTATCCGACGTCCCAGCGTCCCGGATGACGTCACCACGATGATGTGGAGAGACGGAGGGGGGGAACTCTTGCTGGAGCCGCAGCTTTAGAAGGAAGAGGTCGGTTGCTGGGACAACATGTTTCGCGCGCATGCGCTTTATCAAGTCTGGAGCCCCAGATCGAGGGAGATTATCAGTGGTCTTGTATGTCTTCCATTTTCTAATTATTGCTCCCACAGTTGATTTGTTCACTATTGACTATTGCAGATTCAGTCTTCCCAGCCTGGTGCAGGTCTACAATTTTGTTTCTGGTGTCCTACGACAGCTCTTTGGTCTTCACCATAGTGGAGTTTGGAGTGTGACTGTTTGAGGTTGTGGACAGGTGTCTTTTATACTGATAAGTTCAAACAGGTGCCATTGATACAGGTAATGAGTGCAGGACAGAGGAGCCTCTTAAAGAAGAAGGTACAGGTCTGTGAGAGCCAGAAATCTTGCTTGTTTGTGGGTGACCAAATACTTATTTTCCACCATAATTTGCAAATAAATTCTTTCCAAATCAGCCAATGTGTGATTGTCTGGATTTTTTTTCTCATTTTGTCTCTCATAGTTGAGGTCTACCTATGATGCCAATTACAGGCCTCTCTCATCTTTTTAAGTGGGAGAACTTGCACAATTGGTGGCTGACTAAACACTGTGCTAGGGCCAATTTAGACATGAGGCAATAAACATACCAGCATGTCTTTGGTGTGGGAAGAAACCAGAGTGCCCGGAGGAAACCTACACAGGCACAAGGAGAACATGTAGACTCCAGGCAGGTAGTGCTGTGGTTGGGATTCAAATCAATGACCCTAGTGCTGCTAGGCAGACCTGCTAACCATTTAGCCACTGTGGAGGGACTTCATGCATATTTTTACATGGGGCTCCCCCTAAAAATCCAGGCCAGATCTGAAGGATCTTTTTTTTTCTTTTTTCATTTTTGCTAGAAGATGTACTATAGTAAACATAGTGACATAGTGACTTTTATAAAGAAAACAAAGAAAAGATAATAATTTGAAATTTCTGGCAACTTACATTGCACGAACAGCTTTTTTTTTTTGTTTCAAAAGGGACCCCCAAGAGTCCCCCAAAATGCTTATCAGATCCTTTAAACACTGTTCATTCAAACCCCTAGATAGAGCAAAACACAAGATTATACCATAACTTTTCATATTTTAAATAGCACTCTTATATTATCCCAGTGCTTCTAATCACTCTTGCTGCTAATGCAATTCATAAATTGTCCATTCCACTTTCGATAATGTGTATCACCAAATCAAACATAGGTCAGTTGTTGATAATCATGGTGACACAATCCCATATCCCAATCATGGTGTTATTTAACTTACTCAAATTAGTGCAGCTCCCAATTCACACTGTGATTCCACCATCCAGACCCTGAAAGCTCACCAAGATTGTAAAATCCTTAGTGTTAAATGGGTCATTCAAAGTTTTACATCTGAACCCTGGAAAGGCCTTTGCACCCTATCTATTCCATAAAACATAATTAAACAAATGAGAACAGTATGGGGTGCAGGGAAAGGCTTTTTGGAGAAGATACCATACAGAAAGAGATGAAAAAGGGGAGAGAAGAAAAAATAAAAATGAGAAGGGAATTTTAATCTTAGCGATGTAACTTTTATGGAACACGAGATGAATGTTTTAGACCTTGGAATAAAATATGGACCAAATATATGGTCCTAATAATCAATTAAATCAAATTTAAATAAATATGACATTCAGAAATTTTCAAAGAACTCAATGTCAAAAAATTATTACACAAGAAAGACATTTTATCAGAAAATATGCATACCCTGACAAATGATGAGTTTAATTAACCACTTGCCGACCACAGATAACCGAATGACGGCTTCACTTCGGCCGGCCAGTTCTGAGAGGGCGTCATATAATGTCCTCCCAGAACGCGCCCTCCCACGCTCCCCCACACACAGCTGATCACATGATGTGGTAAAAGGCCAATCACAGTGGCCTTTTACCATGTGATCAGCCATGTCCAATGACACAGCAGATCACTGGTAAATGTAGTTGCCTGTTATCGGCTGCACTTTACTCACGCTGTCACAGCGTGAGGAAAGTACTGCCAATAACCGGCAATTGTCAGAGGAAGGATTGCAGCGATCATCAGGGCACTGATGATCAGTGCCACCCACCAGTGCTGCCCATCTGTGCCCAGCAGTGCCACCCACATGTGCCCAGCAGTGCCACATGCCTGTGCCCATCAGTGCCCAGCAGTGCCACCCATCATGTGCCCAGCAGTGCCACCCAGCAGTGCCACCAGTCAGTGCTGTCAGTCAGTGCCACCCATCAGTGCTGCCTATCAGTGCCAATCAGTGCCACTTATCAGTGCCCATCATTGTTGCATATCAGTGCCAGCTCATCAGTGCTGCCTATTAGCGCCACCTCATCAGTGCCGTCTATCAGTGCCCGTGTCAGTACTGCCTATCAGTGCCCATCAGTGCTGCCTATCAGTGCAGCCTCATCAACACACATCAGTGAAGGAGAAAAATTACCTGTTTGCTATATTTTATAATAGAAACAAAGAAAAAATATTTTCAACATTTTTGCTTTTTTTTGTTTATAGTGCAAAAAATAAAACACCCAGTGGCGAGTACATACCACCAAAAGAAAGCTCTATTTTTGTGAAAAAAAAATTATAAAAATTTCAAATTGGTACAGTGTTGCATGACTGCGCAATTGTCCTTCAAAGTGCGACAGCGCTGAAAGCAGAAAATTGGCCTGGGCAGGAATGGGGTATAAGTGCCCGGTAGGCAAGTGGTTTTTAAACACAGTGGTCTAAAAAATACATTGGTTTTTAACCTCAAAGTGACAAGAAGCCATTATTTAAAAGATTTTAAGGCTATGGTGGAGAGTTGTGTTAAACATTTTTAGGATTTCTAAATATGGCAAAACCCCCTTGCATATTGCAGCAGGAATTAAAGAATTAGAGATCAAAACAACAAACAGTAGTAAGTCAACTTACTGATAAGTGTGGGGGAATTTATAAACAAAAAGGATTATGAAGAAGAAATTAACAAATGAATCTCAGTTGAGAACACCTACATAGTTTTGTCATGGAATCCCAGATACTTTTAAATTAAAAACTTTAAAAACTTTAATCAAGAAAGGAAAGAGACAGAATATATTGAATGTGAAAGAAGCAAGGTATTTAGTTCCTAAAGTTACCTACAATCTATTATATACCATATATTCAAAAGGAAAAGAAACATTCACTGGGGAGACCCATTATAAGTGAAGTAATTTCAATTATTTCCAGATTGGGGGGGAAATATATTGATTTATTTCTGCAGAGTGTACTTTTTTAAGGAGAGAGAGAACTAATTTTACTGTTAATAGAAATATCATATAAAGATGGATATATTTTTCACTACTATAGATGTAAACTCATTACA